AAGTCCCACCAGAGGTTCTCAATCGGATTTAAGTCTGGTGACTGCGATGGCCACTCCAAAATGTTCCAGCCTTTCCTCTGCAACCATGCTCTAGTGGACTTGGAGGTATGCTTGGGATCATTGTCCTGTTTGAAAGGTCCAACGTCTCCCAAGCCTCAGGTGTGTGACGGACTGCATCACGTTTCCATCCAATATCTCCTGGTACTGAAGAGAATTCATGGTACCTTGCACACGCTGAAGCTTCCCTGTACCTGCAGAAGCAAAACAGCCCCAAAGCATGATTGACCCTCCACCATGCTTCACAGTAGGCAAGGTGTTCTTTTCATCATAGGCCTTGTTCTTCCTCCTCCAAACATAGCGTTGATCCATGGGCCCAAACAGTTCTAATTTTGTTTCATCAGTCCACAGAACACTATCCCACAACTTTTGTGGTTTGTCCACATGGCTTTTGGCATACTGCAGTCGACTCTTCTTATTCTTTGGAGACAGCAAGGGGGTACGCCTGGGAGTTCTGGCACGGAGGCCTTCATTACGCAGTGTGCGTCTTATTGTCTGGGCTGAAACTTCTGTACCCACATCTGACAAATCTTTTCTCAGTTCCTCAGCAGTCACACGGGGACTTCTCTCCACTCTACGCTTCAGGTAGCGCACAGCAGTCGAAGTCAGCATCTTCTTTCTGCCACGACCAGGTAGCGTTTCAACAGTGCCCTTTGCCTTGAATTTGCGAATGATGCTTCCTAAGGTGTCTCTTGGTATGTTTAACATCTTTGCAATCTTCTTATAGCCATTGCCCTTCCTGTGAAGAGAAATCACCTCTTCTCTTGTCTTCCTGGACCATTCTCTTGCCTTCACCATGTTTGTAACCACACCAGTAAATGTCTAGAAGGAGCTGAGTATCACAGTCATTTTAAAGCTGCCTAATTGGTGCTTATTATGCTTGATTGCTGCTCGGTGACATCCACAGGTGTTTTCAATACCTGATGGAAAGCACCTGTATGAACCTCTGTTCTTCAGAGTGGTAGTCTTTAAGGGGTTGAATAATTGTGGCAATGAAGAAACCACATAAGAACCATTTACTACTGTATTACATAAACAATTGATGTCATTTTAGTTGCATTTGGGTAGTTACAACGTCCTTGTAGGATTTGATTCTGAATACAATTCCAAATGTACACTATAGTCCCTAAACCCCTTTACAGCATTGGGGGTTGAATAATTTTGGCCACAACTGTATATATTATTATAAAAAGTTGTTTTTTTTTCTATTTTGATGCTAACGGGTCATGTGATGTCAGGCTCCGCCTTTGGGTGGTTCTGATACAGCCCTTTTTGTTACCATTTAGTAACTTATATAAAGAGAAGTGCAGACTCCTGTAGTGTTGGCTCTGAGGAAGAGGTTGTGTCCTCGAAACGCGTTAGACTATTGGTCATCCAGGGTTCCATCATATGGACTCAGATGTTGTTTGGATCATACATCTTGTTCAGTTTGACATGCCTGTGTTATTATGTCCATTGTGAGTATGATACCTATTTTTGTTTCTTTAATAAATTATTTTAAATGATAATGCATTAGATCGGTGCGCCCTTTTTCTGTTTCTCCATTTGTATCCTCCAGGAGTGGAAGCTTGTTGGGCAGTGGTGGCTGCATTATTTTTCTTTTTTTCAGGTTTTATTTTTTTCAATTATTTTCACCTGCAAATTAGGTCTTCCCATCTTGGGGTGTCTCCACTCTGGATGGAATACACCTTTGGACAACAGCATTTTCAATCTGGGGAGAGGATAATGTTAGATACACTAGCAGATTTAGATGGTCCTCACAAACAAATTAAAGCTCACTTAGTTTTTTTCCATTGAACCTGTATTTGTTTGCTGATTCTCTGATAACAGAACGTTTTTAACATGTTGTATACTTTTTCCTTCCAAAGCAATCTATTCAGGAATTTAAATATTTTTCAAGTATTTTTTATCATGGTAGATTGGCCAAATACATTGCCAGAACGAATATATCTAAATCTTAGATAATTGACTTTTCTTTGGACAGTTAGGCAGTTGAGTTACAATGCTGATATTTTAGAAAAGGCATGTGTGAATTAAAACCAACACCTTAAAACATATGCTGAAAACCAATCAGAACTCCTTGCTAAATCCGCATTTTCAAATGCAAATACTGCTGCAGGTCTGCACAGTGTGAGATAAGTAACTAACAATGTGTTAATCTCTCTTTCATGCACCAGCAAGCTATTCCCACATAATTGTGACAACATAACACCTTTAATTGGGCTTGTTGACCAACAACTATGGTATGAATTTTAAGTACTGTATGTAATTACTTAGTCTTAGAGCACTCAGTTAATATAAATGCAGCTTATTTTTACTAGCCGTGGTAAATAAAGAAGTGACATGTACTACAATGATGTACACTGAAAAATAGATGTAGGCTTGAAGTAAAACTGTCATGGCTGAAATATTGCTTTGCTTTGCAGTCTCTAGCTTCAATACATTTTGAGTTGCTGAACCTTAAAGTGTTACTAAACCTACACCAGTAAAATCAGTCTGTATATCCAGTAAAGCATGCTTGTTATACTCACTGTTGAACCTAAGGGGTTAATCCTCCACATTGTGTAAAAAGGCAGTCTTCTCTGATCCTCACCTTCTTCTACTGTTCCTGATCCATCTGCTGATAGTACAGAGCTAAAGGAGGTGTCACTCTGCACATGCTCAGTTTGATGTGTATTGCTAGAGAGTTTTTTTTCTTTGAGAGGGTGCATGTGATCAGCACAGGGCCAATCAGCACTGTCCAGATGGAGGGTCATGCAGCCTCATAGGACAGTCAGAGCAGAATGAAAACTCCTGCTACAAGCTAAAACCAGTGCTCAGTTGGACACTGCTAGAAGTCACAGGACTGCTCCAACTGCTGATGAGAAAAGGTATTTAGCAGTTTATATTTACTAAAATAATTGCATTTCCATGTTCTGTGTAATGTGGGAGACCAGATATAGTGAATACAGGGTCATGGGTTTAGTAACACTTTAAAAAGTACCTGTCAAGTCCCCCCAAAAATGTGAACACCTCTCCCCTGCAAAAGATAGAGGTAGCATACTCACACCTATGTCACAAATGTCTCCTGGACAAAGGATGAGGGCAACAACAGAGCATTACAAGTAGGAGTGAGTGAATTTTCCAGTGTTCAAGAACAGTTTTGTAAATCTTGATCAAAGTTAGGAGTTTGCCAACTTTGCATAGAGCCCATTGAAGTTTACAGGGATGAATTTTGTTATTCACTTCTGCCCATTTGGATTGCTCATTCGCATGTTATTATCAAATAAAATGGCATGGGAAACAGGCACAGCTATGGGGGACATGTACCAATGCAAAAATAAAAAAATTGAAATACAGTATTTCCTCCTACAATTGATTATTGTAATGGTGCAAGAAAAAGAAGGCAGGTTCTAGAGGGATCTTGTAATCTGTGAATTTCTGTTTTATACATGGCATCTCAGACAAAGGATGAAACTAGTCACTGGTCCAAAATATATGCAGGCTATCTCCTGTGGCACCATCACTGCACCTCCAACATACATTTGTAGCCTGTGGGAACTTTTTGTGCAGAGTATCCTGACATAATGATTATTGTAATAATATTGATGCTTGAGGGGATAGGGGAAATTGAATAATTTCCTATAAATAAATAAATTTGGGTCTTTTGAAAATAAATAATGGTAACAGTACTATCTAGGAGTTCAATTTAATTAAGGATTTAGTCACTCAGTCAATCCTGTAACTATAACAACTACCATCACTGTTATTGCTGCTGCTGCAGCTACAGTTCTTGATACTACTATTGACACCAGCACTACTACTCAGTGGTATAAATAATCTGTAAATATTGGTTGGGGTCATTTTATACTGCATACACAATTCTGAATTTCCTGTTATTTTATTCAATAACATACATAAACTAGGATATGGTTGGTAGACCATTTCCAAAAGAATACTGTGGGGTTGATTTAATAAAGGAGTAAATCATATTGACTTACCTTCAGCATTCCACCAGTCACAGGCCCACCAATGTAATCACATACAGTGCAGGGCCATCAGCGCTGCATTATAAGTGGGGATGCCAAGGGTCCACTTAAAACTAGAAGCACTGGAGAGAGTGCAGAGCACTGGCCTCTGGAGGAACAGGGATTAAGTAAGTAAATAAGAGCTTCAACTCTGGGAAGGTTGTCCACAAGGTTTGGGAGTGTGTCTATGGGAAAATCTGAACATTCTTCCAGAAGCGCATTTGTGAGGTCAGGCACTGATGTCGGACAAGAAGTCCTGTCTTTCAATCTCCACTCTAATTCATCCCAAAGGTGTTCTATCAGGTTGAGGTCAGGGCTCTGTGCAGGCCAGACAAGTTCATTCACCATAAACTTGCTCATCCTTGTCTTTATGGATCTTACTTTGTGCACTGGTGCGCAGTCATGTTAGAACAGAAAGGGGCCATCTCCAAACTGTTTCCACAAAGTTGGGAGCATAAAATTGACCAAAATGTTTTGGTATGCTGATGCCTTAAGAGTTCCCGTCACTAAAACTAAGGGGCCAAGCCCCTGAAAAACAACCCCACACCATAATCCCCCCTCCACCAAATTTTACACTTGGCACAATGCAGTCAGGCAAGTACCATTCTCCTGGCAACTGCCAAACCTAGACATGCCCATCAGATTGCCAGACAGCAAAGCATGATTTGTCACTCCAGAGAACATGTTTCCACTGCTCTAGAGTCCAGTGGTAGCGTGCTTTACACCACTGCATCCGACGCTTTGCATTGCACTTGGTGATGTAAGGCTTGGATGCAGCTGCTCAGCCATGGAAATCCAACCCATGAAGCTCTCCACACACTGTTATTATGCTAATCTGAAGGCCACAAGAAGTTTGGAAGTATTTGACAGTTGACGACTTATGCGCTTCAGCATGCTCTGACCCCGCCCTGTAATTTTACATGGCCTACCACTTCGTGGCTGAGTTGCTGTTGTTCCCATTTGCTTCCACTTTGTTATAACACCCCAACAGTTGACCGTGGAATATTTAGTAGCAAAGAAATTTCACGGATTGACTTATTACACAGGTGGCAACCTATCATGGTACCATGCTTGAGTTCACTGAGCTCCTGAGAGCGACCCATTCTTTCACAAATGTTTGTAGAAGCAGTCTGCATGCCTAGGTACTTAATTTTATACGTCTGTGGCCATGGAGGTGGTTGGAACAGATTTGGAGGGGTGTCCCAATATTTTTGGGAATATAGTGTATATTTATTAGGTGAGCTGGACAAGTACCCCTTTCGTGGAGAGCCAAGCCTTTTTAGTGGACGTATTTGGGGTATTATTATAAACTTGTTCCTGCTGCTGTGCCTTTTGGGTCATCTGAGATTCCAGTGTCTTAGTTTTGTTTTTACCACCATAAACTTCATAAAAATGCTTTGAAGGCTTCCCATTTTACCGTGTGATCAGGAGACTGCTTGTGATTAGAGTAAAATTCTTCTATTCTCAATTGACTTGTGAGAAGGGAAAAGATTTAGCCAAAATGCATTCAGCTTCCAGGAAGTTTTAGGTAGGATAGGGAGGGTTTTAGCTGCAAATAGTAGGATCAACGGAGAGTGGTCTGAGACACTCCTTGGGGCATAGTGTATGGCGGTAATAAAAGAGGCAGAGGAAAGGGTCCCCAAATATAAATCTATCCAGGAAAAGGTAACTGTGGTCTTAGAAAAAGAATAAAATTGGCAGATTTTTGGGTTTTGAACTTACCCGAAAATCATCCCGATCAACCCAGCAGTAAAGTGACTAAATGCAGTACCTATCGGGGTAGGTGGATGTTTGCCTACAGATGCATTCATATAGCCATTATTATTGCCCAACAGAAACAATGGCACATTTGGCTTGTCCAGTACAAATGATACTAACTATCGTAATATTATCATAGAAAATGGAAGGAATATATACAAAAGCTTGTATACATACGTGGGCATTCAAGTCAAACTGAGACTGTTTTCAGTTTATATAATAAAAGAACAAATTTCAAGGAGTGGAAACTGCTTTTATTTTTCAACAGACTCCCATGCTACATGTATACACTTTTCTCAGTGTTTAATGTCTGGAAAGCTTCGACATAGAAAGATTTTTCAATACGCCTGAACCATCCTAAGACAGCCTGCTTCACTTAGTAATCAGTGCTGAAATGTTGAACTCCGAGGAACACTTTTAGTGGTCCAAACAGGTGAAAATTACTTGGAGCGAGGTCCAGGCTGTAAGGGGGATATGGTATTATCTCCCAGCTGAGTTGCTGTAATGTGCACATAGTGCGGTAAGCAGTATAAGCTCATATGTTGTCCAGGAGAAACAGGACGCACTTAGTGATCAAATCAGGCTGTTTATTTTCCCACAGACACATATTCACATCACTCAGAACATAACTGTAACATTCACTGTTGATAGTGGCACCAAAGCATAGAAAATCGGCATGAATAATGTCATGTTTGTCCCGCAAAACTCTTGCCCTCAATTTACTTGCAGACGCAATTGTTCAAAAATTTTTTTTTGTGGTGATGAGTCTGCATGCTTCCTCAGATTTGATACTCGACTTGATGCTGAAGTGAGATGATGTGAACAGGTTTCGTCACATGTAATACAGAAAATCCTGCCAAAATCCATGCTCCTTCAATGCAGTGCAGACTTTAGCTCTTCTGTGCCAGTCGATTATTCAGGATCAGGTGCTCCACGTGAATGTTCACAGGAATGACTGCTGTGAGCTGGGAGCCACCACAGCCAGGATTGCCACTGATGAACGTACAGCCATCTTTGAAATGTTTACACCATTCAAATGTTTTACTGTGGCTGATTGCCTCATCACTGTGCTTGAAGTCTTCTGTAGATATATGCGAGTTTTACACCTTCGTTCACAAGAAACCTCATCACCACATCCTGTTTCCATGCATGCACTAACACTGTTGTCTGCCATCTTGAATAATGGTCTCTAGACTGGTCCACGGCATGTGTGTTGCCCAACAGTAATAGGCACACTTGCCACTTATTACTGCGTATAGTACCACCATACTGGCATCCCTTTTTATACCTGTAAAATTAAAAGTCCCAGGTTTGACTTGAAGGCCCCTCATATATAGTTTACAATACAGAATCTTCCCTCATCATCCACACTACTAGACAATTCCTGATAGTCAGGTAACTTGTGTATCAGAATACTCACACTTCGTGAGTGAGAGGTGTGTTTAGAATGATATGCATGTCCAACCCAAAGAAAAGAAATGCTATTTAAAGTGTCTTTGGTAAGGTGAGTTTCTTAAAACCTACAAAGGGCAGGTTGATACATCTGTAGGATTGTGAAAACCATTATTCCTTTTAATGGGTCATGTAGCTTTCTAACATTTCATGAGATTACAGGTGTGTACACCACGGTGATGTAGAAAGATAAGGCACTGATATATGTGCAAAAAGGGACAAACAAAACAGTGTTACTGTCTCTCCTGGAGATTTCCTGCATAGGCTGAGGACCATGAGAAGGGAACCTACATTCTGTGAACTGTACCTGCTGTGACCATAAAACATAAGGTGCTTGAAGTTTAGTTGGAGCTGCATTGCACTGGAACAGAAAAATAATAGAATTGTCAAAACGCAGGCACAGCAGTGCAGGGGTGCCAACACAGTATCTCTGAGACAAGCAACCAGCAGAGCCTCGGGAAAGTTATGTCCTGCATACTCTGAATCCAGTATCAAACTGGAGGACTCATGGTAATAGAACTCACTGCAGATGGTATTCAAAGAGCTCTTTCTCTTGTTATTAAACAGGTCATTTTCCACAGGGAAAAAGAATGAAAGATTAGAACTCAGCTGAGAAGAAACATTAATTAAAATTCAGATTCTGATTATGGATTTTAGAAATGTGCCTCATTCACATTTAGCCACTCCGGTGCCTCTGCAGCAGTATCTAAGATACGACTGACCCCTGGCTGACTCTCAAATGGGCCTAGTAGAGCACTGCATATGAAAAAACTGGAGTTGACTCTTAACATTGAGGAATTTGGCTTGTATGCCAAAAGATCAGAAACATCAGAGGAGACATCAGGGTAGGAGGATACGTCACTCTGTTAAAATGGATGTTGGATCTTTTCAGTTGCTGTTGCTGACTATCCAAGCCATTGCAGGGTATGGTATCCCCTGTTTGCATGTCCTCTGAGTCAGACAGGGGACACAAAGATGGAAGTGTGTCTGGCTGCTGATCTGAAACTGTGACAAGATCTTCCAGAACAGCCTACCCCTGTGTACTTGATAGTTTCTGTGTGCAGTATAGCATCTCCTGAGGCTGCTCTTTCCCCCTGGGCAGGAGACCTTACTGGGTATATTGGCTGCATGTTTTGTCTTCTCACTCCTCTGGGAGCATGATGTGGAAGTGTTGCTGAGGTGCCATTTTGGTTATCCAGAAGCGCGGGTTCTTCATTGTTTTTCTTTGTCAACATGGCCTCAGATATCTGGGTGGTGGCTGGGGGTGCTCAGAGTAACACTGAGGGAGGTAGCTCTGGAAAGCTGCAGGTAAACCACCGGGGAAAGGTTCAGAAGAAGGATCTATATCAAGAGCTCCTTGAAGCACTGCCACTCACAAACCCTGCTTGGGCACACCCCCATTAAAAGAATATTTAACAACAACAACAAAATGGAGTTAACAAGGTAATTGTCAAGATTTACATAACCTTTAATGGTGATCATTCTCACTTAATGATGGAAGAAAAAAACACACCCCATACCCCCCCCCCCCTCCTTCTGTAACACAAATGTAAATGTTCAGCCAACCAGTATATGAAGCTCCCACACAACCCAGTTACCAGAGGGCAGTTCTGTTTTGTAGAAAGGCTGATTGCCCTCCCTCATTCATTCGCATCTTAAAGTGTTACTAAACCCAGGACCCTGCATTCACTATATCTGGTCTCCCATAGCACACAGAACATGGAAGTGCAATTATTTTAGTAAATATAAACTGCTAAATACATTTTGTCATCAGTAGTTAGAGCAGTCTTGTGACTTCTATCAGTGCCCAGCCAAGCACTGGTTAAAACTTGTAGGAGGAGTTTTCATTCTGCTGTAGGAGGACTCATGACCCCTGACCTCTGTCAGTGTTGATTGGCCCTGTGCTGATCACATCCACTCTCGCAAGAAAACAAAAAACCTCTCTAGCAATGCACACTAAACTGAGCATGTGCAGAGTGACTCCACATGATATGTCTTATCAGGAGGATAAGATGGGGACACTGGAAGCAGGGGAGGATCAGAGAAGATGGAATCAAACAGCATTTTTACACAATGCAGAGGATTAACCCCTTAGATTTACTGCATATACAGACTGATTTTACTGTTGTGAGTTTAGTAACACTTTAAGACTGTTATAAGATTGTTTGTGCCATGCAACATTCTCTTGCTATTTAACATATTAATATTATTATTATACAGTATTTATATAGCGCCAAAGGTGTATGCTCAGCGCTGTACAGTAGCAAGGGGGGACAGAACATGAGACAAGACAGTAACAATACACTACACGAGGGGTTCGAGGGGGCCCTGCTCTTTTGAGCTTACAATATATGTATTTACTGTATATAAAATTCCAAGTGATCAGACATCGTCATCATACAAGACCATAGTAGTTATAGCTGTTATATCTTAAAATAGTACTCATGCTACAAAAATACAGTACATAAAATGGAATAGCCCATTTAAAAAAACATTTTGCTGCAATACTTACCATCATTCGAAAAAATCGTCACTCGCAGTATTTCTCTTCTGCCACTAGAAGTCACCAGTCTTCTGACTTGAATGGTGACCAGTGTCATTTACCCCATTCAACATTCCGCTTCCTCTAAGCTCAGGCTGTCATGAACCCACCCCATGGGACAGCATCACCAGTCAAGCGGGAAGAGGAGTCAAAAAACCAAATTCCTCTTCAATTAATATTAGTATAATAAGTTTATTCTGTATACTAAATATGTGATATATATATATATAGGAAAATAGATACTAAGCAAGAGTAGATATTTCTTATTTAGATACTAAATAAGAAAATATTATTCTACGGTCTCTGCAGATATGATAAAATTCATACATACAATATATATACACACTAATATTTGTTTAATTTTAAGACCCAAAGGGATTCAGCAGGACTGAAGAATGTGCAGCTTTTTTTTCTATTTAGGAAAAACTGTGTACT